GAAAAGAAAAACAAACGAAAGGGTTGAGGATTTGAATGTTAATCAAAACCCTCAAGAAACAAATAGTAACATGGATCATATTTTTGAAGAAATTGATCATGATAAACTTGTCGAGGATGTTAATTATAATAGAATTTCTCATTAAGAGAATGAAATTATTGAAAATTCAATAAATTATGTTACTACTGGAAAGTATAGGAACCAAAATGATACAATTATGGATAATTCTCTTGCATATAATGTAGCACTTGATCTAATGGAAAATGAAAAGGATCCAGAACCTAAATCATTTGATGAATGCCGGAAAAGAATAGATTGGCCAAAATGGAAAGATACGATCCAGTCTGAATTAAATTCACTAGCAAACGGAATGTTTTTGAACCCATTGTTCAAACATCTGAAGGTGTTAAGCCTGTTGGCTATAAATGAGTATTTGTTCGAAAACGAAATAAGAATAATGAAATTGCCAGATATAAAGCAAGATTAGTTGCCTAAGGTTTTTCACAAAGACCTGGAGTTGATTTCAGTGAAACATATTATCCAGTAATTAATGAAATAACATTTCGATATCTTGTCAGTTTGTTAGTACATGAAAATTTGGATATGCGTCTGATGAACGTCGTAACTGCCTATTTATTTGGCTCATTAGATACTGATATCTATATGAGAATCCCAGAAGGATTTAGTATGCCTGATGCATACAAATCAAAGGCAAAAGAATATTATTATATTAAATTACAAAAGTCTTTGTATGAGATAAAACAATTTAGTCGCATGTGGTATAATCGTCTCGGTTAATTATTATTGAAAGAGGGATATGCCAATGATTCTACTTGCCCGTGTGTTTTTATAAAGAAATATGGAAGAAATTTTGTAATAATAGTTGATTATGTGGATGACTTGAAATTAATTGAAATCCCTAGAGAAGTCCAAAAAGCTATTGAATATTTGAAAAGGAAGTTTGAAATTAAAGATTTCGGGAGAACGAAGTTCTGTCTTGGTCTACAAATTGAATATTTGGAAAATGAGATTTTGATACATCAATTTGCATATACCAAAAAGGTATTGAAATGATTTGCAATAGATAAAACACATTCATTAAATACTCCAATAGTCGTTAGAACTCTCGATCCTATTAAAGATTCTTTTAGACCAAAATAGGAGAATGATGAAGCACTTGGTCTTGAAGTACAATATTTAAGTGCTATTGGTGCACTAATGTATCTGGCTAACAGTACTAGACTAGATATAACATTTGTTGTAAATTTATCGGCCAGATTTAGTGCAATGCCAACACAACGACATTGGAAAGGAATTAAACATATTCTTTGTTATCTTCAAAGATCTATTGATCTCGACCTATTATATCCAAAAGGATCTCGACATGAATTGATTGGATATGCAGATGCTGGGTATCTTTTTTACACGTATAAAACCAAGTCTCAGACTGGCTATATGTTTATTTGTGACGGTACAGTGGTATCTTGGAGATCCACTAAACAAACATTAACCGCCACAACTTCAAATCATGGAGAAATAATAGCAATTTTCATGAGTCTAGTCGAAAGTGTATTTGACTAAGATCAATGATTCAACACATTTTACAAAATTGTGGTTCGAAATCTGAAAAAGATAATTCTCCTACTATTTTATATAATGATAATACAACTTGTATAACTCAACTGAAATGAGATATATAAAGGGAGATAGAACGAAACGTATTTCACCAAAATTTTTCTTTACTCACGATCTCCAGAAAAATGGTGAAATAGATGTACATCAAATTCGATCGGACTAGAATTTAGCAGATTTGTTGACTAAGGCTTTTAGTACAATAAAATCAATGGTGGCACGTGCTTCTACGTGAACCCGCTCTGCTCCCTCTCCCTCGCTCTATATATATATATATATATTTTATAGTACATATATTTGTAAATACATACTTATATATTTATACTTTATATTTGATATATTTTATAAGAAATAATGATTTTTAGTAATTTTTGAAAGATTCTATATATATACCCATATTTTAAAGAAAAAATAATATTAAAATAGAAAAGTTGGACAAATACTCAAGAGTCAAAGACACGTAGTCCTACTTAGGCGCAAGTTAGAAGCGCAAGATAGAAGTGTATGCATCATGCATGTAGTTTAACGAATGAATGAATCAGGGTGTATTTTTTTTTTTTTGGCTATGTGGAGTAATGTTTACTTATTAATTTTTTTTTATATATATTTTTTAAAATTTATTTTTCCATTAATTATCCGTTAAAAAAGATTTTAAAAAATCAACTAAAAACATCATCCAACACCCAAAATAATTTGGGCAGACATCATGCATGTGTATATATTATAGAAATTAAACTACGATTTCACTTAAAACATAAAACTTATGTGTGTTTTAAAGCAACAAAAATAACTAAAGGAAATAGAAAAAAATATATACTCCTTCCGTCCCACGTACCGTGTCTGCTACACTGTAGATACTGTATTTTAAAAGGGGTGTAATTAGTAGATAATTAAAAATATATTAGTGAAAATAATTATTCGATAATATAAATAATTATAAATTAAGATTAAAATAACTAATTAGTTTAATTAAAATTTAAAAAAAAAATTTAAAAATTTAAAGCAAGATTAAAGTGGGTAATCATTTTCCAAAAAAAGAAAGTAATATGGTATGTGAGACGGACAGAAACGACAACGTGGACATGATATGTGGGACGGATGGAGTATTATTAATCCCAATCAAATTATTATTATTATTATTATTATTTTATTTTTTATTTCATTAAAAAATAATTATCAAATCACAAAAAATTAATTCTCATTTTTAGTTCAGCTGTTGAAATTTTAACGGAACGTGATGACGTGAGCCGTAACAGAAGATTGAGTTATCATCTTATTCGGGAAAAACACGGTCGTGTATGTGTATTTAGCAATTTTCTGCCCAAACACATGGGTGTATTTATAACAAACATGGCTGTTCAAAAATTGTATTCCATTCTTCCCATATCTATTTATTCATTTACTTTTTACACTAAGTTTTATAAATATTAGTATTATATTGGGAGGCAGTAGAAATAAAATAAAATAAAAAACTAAACTAATCTTATTAGTATCGAATGATATAAATGTAATGATATTTGTATAATATATTATAAATTAAAAAGATATTTGTAATATTAAATAAATAGTACAATTACTTAAAAAATAAAGAAAAAATGAATAGATTATAAAAAATAGATAGATTGTTAAGCAACAAGGCTGTTTCGAAGATGAGGTTTTCTAAAGAGGCGGAGGATAAGTTCCTGCGGAGGTGTACAAAGGAGAAGAGTAAATGCAATTGTAAATGCGAAGAAAGATATTCTCCAATTAATGGATCCAATTTTGTGGTCTTTATTAATAATGGTCAAAGTGGTTTGCGCACGTGGTGCCATTGTCGTCTTCCCCAACCTTCCAAGATTGTACTTGCATAGCAGTGGAACTTGTACTGATAGATAACTATGAATTTGATTTGGTGCGGTGGTGGATCCTAGAAATTATAAGAAAGGTAATTTTTTTTTTTTCTTTTTGGAGTATGATCGTATTCAATCAGAATTAGATTACAACTTATCTTCCATTACGGCCACATCTTCATATTTCGTTAAAATTTTAATAGCATGACTAAAAATGATAATTTATTTTTTGTGTGGAATTAATTTTGATAATTATTTTTGAACTAGACCAAAAGTAAAATAAAATAAAATAAAAAATTGATTTGAATTGGATCAATAATGAATTTTGCTCTAAAGGAAATGTTTGTGTCTTTGTATTATTTTTTTGTTTTAATATTTTTTAAAGTATATATATATATATATATTGGATTTAATATTCTCACATGAAAAATGAATATTCAATGTCATAATTCTTTTATAAATAAATAAATAAATTACTGGAAATTAAAATTAAAATAAAAAACCCCAATTTCAGTTTCAAAAAAATGGAGAGAAGAGGAGGAAGAAGAATTATTGTAACTCAAACATGCAAGATGAGATTCAAAACCAACAAACTCAATTTGGATTCAGACTGAGATTTATTCAAAGGACATTCGAAAAGTTGCTGCCACAGCTTCTTAAAAAAAAAAAAAAAAAAGACATAGAGAAAGCTAGAGGCCGTCAATTCGTGTTTTTGGGTCATGTTCGTGTCGGGTTGAGTCATAGGGATAATAAAAAAATTGTCAACTCGAACTCGACCCGAACCCGAAATCTGACCTGTAACCCTAGACTCGAACACGACACAAATTCTTTCAGGTCGGGTTCAGGTTGACCTGAATTAGTTTCAGGTCACTCGAAACCCAAACAAACCGATACGAACCCGACACTAAACAGACCCGAAAATTTTAAAAAATTAAATTGACCTAAAAGATATCATTTTTATTTTAATTTTTATATTATTTTATATTGAAAATAATATAAATATTATAAATTAAAATAATAATAATAAAAATTTCAGGTCAACCAGAAACACTAAACCCAAAACTTAACCTGATTTTTATATTTCAGGTTATCAGGTAAACCCGAAATACGACCCGAACACGACACGAATTTTTTTCGTTTCAGGTTCGAGTCGATCCGATTTTTTTAAAACCCGAAATACCCAAATCCGAACCTGAAAAATTTCAGGTCGAATGGGTTCGGTTTTTTAGGTCGGGTTTATTTTGACACCCCTAGACAAAGCTGCCCATTTCACATCCCTAAGTATTCTTCTCACTTATTCCTAATAGACATTTTGGATCTTGACATAAAGGACAACCTAACATGTGAATAACATACAAACCTTATTAAAATTCTACTTCTGACCAAACACAAATACACATATTAGACAATAACAAGAAACAAACATCACCAATCATCCCATGCATCATTATACTTATAAATGTCTCCAATCCAAATTTAAATCCATCCCTCATTTAATCCCCACACAATACTTAAAGAAATCTTAAATCCTCCTGCAGTTTCTATTATCCAGTGAATTTTACAGTTAGCAAACACTGGAAAAAAACAGCTTAAAAGAACCATCTCATGCATATATAGTACCTCTCTATATAGATCGAAAAAGCCCGAAATTTCGACGTTTCTTACGCTCGACAATCGCCCGGCTGGCTCGTCTATCTCCGAAAAGAATGAATGCGAAAGAAATGGTAATCCGGCAGGTGAACTTCCAGCGATCGCAGCCAATTCTCAGCTTCTTGCATAAGGTAGATCTCTTGCGCGCACTCGATCGGTTCGCAAGGGCTCACGATCGATCCCTTTAGCTTGTACGCCGCCAGAGCAAATACCGGCAACGAGATTTTCGCCGTTCCGCCGCCGCTGCTAAACCTTTTGGTGCTCGGAGGATGAAATTGAGCAGGAAACATACCTGCGAGCGGAACGAAAATTCAATTGGCGAAATACTGACGAATTATCTTAAAAACAAAAAGGATAAAGATGTCTACTTGTAGGGTGCGTCGACAATGAATGGAATGTCAAGAACGACGCTTCGAGATCTTTCAGCGTCGGGCCAACCGGGATCCTGTAAATCGGGTACCTGCGTCGAGTAAATCGATGATGTTAGAACAGCGAATATAAGGTTTTTTTGTAAGAATTGAGGGATTTAGAATACACACCAAGCTACACATAGCCAGCTTATTGGGAGAAGATCGCAGCTTCGACATTTATTCAGCTGCGGGCAGTTCGACGCGAGTATCGACACCTGCACCGTAGAAAACAGAGAAATGACGGAGGGTAAATTCAATTTACGATTCGAATGATTTTACCTTATCAGTTAACGGCCTGCGGCCGTAAGGCTGTTCGTACTCCAGATATTGAAACAGTAGTGATTTTGATGGAAAAGCAGCAGAAACTGGCTGAGAAGTAGTCGAAATTGCCGCAGAAACAACAGATTTGCCTTTGTTGTTTGCTTTAGATTTGCTGCTTTCAACGACATTAGTCTGGCCGAGCTCTCTGTAATAAAAAACACCATCAGCAACAACAAAAGTTAAAAGAAATCCCTGTAAGAAAATCGAGTAATGTCGAAGTAAGACGCCAAGTTATAGATCTCGACAAACAATAGCAAGTTCAGCTCAATCTTGTCCTAAACACTACCTTCATACTTCACCTCTTTTCATGCTTTTGTCGAAACAAAAGGATGTGGTTTATCACATTTCTACCGAAAACAACGTTAGTAATTAAAAGACAACATACATGTAATAGATAGACATTGTCTACATGATATTTACCATAGGTAAGAAAATAAGATAATCAACCATCAATGCTAGACAAGCAAGAAATCGCGCTAAAACTAACCCAGGGCGACGAGAATGCTCTGCCTGATCGATGTACATCTGTATTCCCGACAAGAATGGGACATAGTATTGATCGATCGGATCCGTTCCGTTTACAAGTAACGGCACTCCAGCTCCGTACACGCTCCACTCATTAAATGCTTCCCATAGATCCTCCATGTAATAAAAAGGCTCCGAATTTACTCCATATTCCCCGGGATTCACCTGCCAACGGCATAAAGATTAAGTCTTTATCACGTCTACCAAACGGGGGCCAACCAACGCCCCCTACAAACACGTGTCGTTCGACATTAATAACGGTTTCTTAAATTGCATAACGACAAATAACAACTTTTCCCGAACCTCGTACACAAAATCTAACAAAAGGTTTTGAAGTAATGCTAGATCATGATAATCAATGTTGTTTTAAAACCGTAACGACAAAAATACGATAGCAACCGTTAGCCAACGACCCTTTCAAGCTGTTATTACATCGATCAACGGAAAAATAACGACTTTTCGAAAGCGAAATGACCACAATGTTTACACAGGTAGTGAACTCATTACACCAATTAGAGAAATCCCAAATGATTCAAAAACATATGCAAGAACTGTCTATTCTCAAGCCTCATTTGTTGGATCCTTAAAAAACATATACAAACTTGAATCCAATCTTTCTACCATATGGTTAAAAAACAAAGGAAATCAACAGTTCTGTTAAAATGAATTTTTTTTATCTTTTGATCCCTTGGCAGGGTAATGTTTTTTTTACCCTTTTTCATCCTTCTCATGCATATCAACTATCAATCTACGATTCTACAGGCTTAGGGCTTCATTAAAAACATCAAAAATAAATCAAAAATGAAATAAGATTGATTCCTTACAGACCTCAGATAAGAACCGCGCCTGGATGAGCGGAGTTACCGCCTCCATCACACGATCTAAGTTGGTAATATCCACCGCCGGAGGAGCTTTAACAGGCGGCGGTGAGTACAATGGAGGAGAAATCGGAGAGTCACCGGAGACAGGTCTCTTCCCCGCCGCCTTCGCCGACGCCGGCGGCGTAGCTTCCTTCTTCACTGTCTCCGACCTCTGCTGCCGCTGCTGCTGTTGCTGCTGCTGCTGTTGGTGGTGGAGTTGTTGTAGGAGTATCCGCCTCATCTGGTTCTGCTGTAATGGCGGTTTCCGGTGGCTCCTACCCGCCGGAGACGGCGCCGGAGTTTGAGATTTGCAATCTCCAAGCCTCGACGGTGCCGCCGTCTTAAACCCTCCCTTGCTCGACATCACTCCTGAAATAGAAAACTTCATTCGATTTGAAGAAAAATAAAAAACAATCGAAATGAATGCACGCACTTATCTATCGATTAATCTCACAGACTCCGGCGGAATCGCGTCGGAGAATCAGGAAATTTTTTAATCGGAGAATCGAAAGCGAAGGCTGTGAAGAGGTGGGAAGGAAGACTGTGGTTTATATATAGTGACATCATGGCTGCCCCTGAGGGGTATATTTGGTATTTCACATCGTTACGCTTGTCTGTACGAAAGGTTGGATTTTATTTTGACTCTCGACTGGCATCGTGTGAGATTACGAAACTGCCCTCGCGTCCCTTTGAGTATGATGCTGTGTTGTATAACTCTATTCCTATAATTTCTTCTAAAGGAAAAAAGAAAAACTGATATAATTTTTGTAATAAGGAAATTTAAATTACATGTATTTCTATAATATTACACATATTTTATTTTTAAAAATAAAATTTGATAATATAGGCAAATATTATATACAAATTTTCTAATTCACATAAAGAAAAACATATGTTTGAAATATTATGGCACTTTAGTCATTTCGTGAATATTATTATTTATTTATTCATTTCCTTTACACAACATGATGAGTACGAACGTAATTAATTCGATAGATGTGGTTACAATGAGCAAAATTTGAAAGACCCGGACTCCAGCTCCATACCATTAACAATAGCGCAGAGAACCGATTGGGTGTTGGAAGTCCCAGGACCTCGTAAAAAGAATCATATTTTTTAATTCTCCACGAAAACTATAATTATATTTAATTAATTCATGTTATTACACTGTCATTAATCCGCAATAGTCATAATTTTATCTAAGGCACACAAGGGAAATTGCATTAATTCAAAAGGCTCCCATATAGATTTTTTATTACTATTATTATTTTTAATCAACAATATTTTTTAGAATTTTTTACCTTTCAAAATTAACATATCGATTCATTTATAGGCTATTTAACAATCATGAATATTTAAATTTTTTTGTTGATTTGTAATTTTATATAAAAACTAATAATAATTTTTTTTTTATTATTGAAATTTCCAAACATATGAAATGGTTAATTAAATAAAATAAGTTTAAAATTTACTGTTACCCAATTTTTTTAAATAATCTCACTTACTATAAGTGAACTGTTATTGGGAATTAATTAGGTTGTTAATTATTTTAATATGTATTTATTTATTCATGGTGGGTCCAAACGTTCATATATTTAGAAGAGTCAACGTTCATATGTTCAAATTCAATTTGACATTGTTACTTTTTTTTCTTTTTTTTGTTTTTTTTTTAAAAAAAAAGAGTAATCCCTTTTTATTTTTATTTTTATTTTTTTTAACATTAATTTTGGGTAGAAAGTTTTAAAAATAAATCAAATAAAAGTACGTATAAAAAAAGGTATATATAATTTGCAAGAAGACCTTTCTTGAAGTCGAATAACTCAATCAAGAGTAGTTTTATCACTTATTCAAGACATTCGTTTGTTTGTTTGATTTATTGTTTTAATAGTTTGTTGGTTGGTTGGTTGATTTATTGTTTTTTTTTTTTCTTATATTTAAGAAAAATAGATTTATTTGTATAAAAATTATACGTTTAATTTATTATTAAATTTATTGTTTGTTCAGTGTTTTTAGTTCGAACCATTTTTTTATATAAAATATGAAGAATAATGTTTGTAATGTAAAAGAAATATTCCTATTTTGCAATAAATGTTTCTGTCCCCATATATGTGAATATTTGATTTTTGGTGCAAGAATTTATATGAATAGTATATAAGTATAAACAATTGAAACTTGAGTGGTATATACAAATATATATTTATATTTTTATTTGAGTTATGCGATAAAATAAAATATAATTAATTATTTTTTATTGTGAAAATAGTGCATGATACGTGATACAGAAAAAAATGAAAAATATTAAATAGTACGTGTGAGTGATAAAGTATATATTTGAAAGTGTTAGTAAACAAATTAAATTGTGTGAACAAAGTCATTACTATTTTGTTTAATGAATTTGTTTTATTATTTTAATTTGTCCAAAAAAATATATCATAATATATTTAATAAAAAATTAATTATTTTTAAATTTTTATCAATAATTTTTCATCTAATTATACCATTGTCATTGATAAACCATATATATATATATATATCAATCAATTTATTGTAATCTAACAATTATGTTATTAACTTGTAAAAATTCTAATCTTATTCCTACAAAGAAAAAAAAATACAAAAATAATTATATATTTGATATGGTCGTACAAATACAAATGTCGATCCGTTGATTGAAGCTCAATTATCCACTACAAGAAATTATCAATTTTGTAACGAGATTTTTTCGTTCCTAAATTCACTTTTTCCGTTACTAATGATATTAGAGACGGAATTAGAGATGGAATTACGTTAGCTACGTGAACTTTAGGAACAGAATTCCATTACAAATATACTACAAAAGTGATCTATTAATATAGAGAAAGATTATTAACTTAAAAAAAAAAGAAGAAAAAAAAATGCCTAATAAATAAATATTATCGTCGTCTCAATATTTAGCAATCGATTATTTTTGTATATTCAAACTTTTGAAATGACCTTTCCGGAAGGAGAGTGGGATTTGGCTTCAAAATATTGTGTATGATTAGCTACGTGACGGAGGTTCTCGAGGATAAAAATATTTTATTTATAAATTAGATCGCTGATATATATCATGTATTCGTTGCAATGTTAAATTTAGGCAATTTTTGCCAAATTGAATTTAAGTAAATTTTGTGTAGAAATATAATACGTCATCAATATATATTCATGTTTCATCTAATCGAACTGTATATTTCCTTCTTCCGAAATTAAAAGGTCATTTAGAGTTTTATAATAAATTAAGAAATAATAGTATTTTATTAATTAGAAAAAATGTGTAAGTGTTTTTAATATTTTTGTCTTTTGACTTTATGTATACAATAATTATATGTGTAATGGTATACTTGTAATTTAAGTAAAAATTAAGGTATTTTAATAGTAGTGTATAATTATTTTTTCTAAAATAAAAAATTAATATTTTAAAATGAAACAACGAAAATAGTAAAAAAAAGTCATTTGAATTGAAGTGAAAAAAATATATTCTTACTTCATATCATGGAATTATACTAGAAACAACATAAGATATACTTTTATATGTTATTTGCTCACTTATAACAGTACAATACAATTATTTTTATTTATTTATTTTTGTGAAAACTTAGAACAATTCCAACTTCAAAATAAGGGCATTACTCCGGAAAGCATGGTCATTTTATTCATATTTTGAATGTAAAATTAATTTTTAGCATATTATAAAACATAAAAATAAAAATTTAATTTGATATTTTAAAAAAAATGATTAATAATAAAAATTTTGTAAAATTTGATAAAATAACACACCTGGTGAGATTATGAAACTAATCTCGGGTTTGTTTATTTAATGTTTGGATAATATAAAAATGATATTCTCTTTGTATCATTTTTTTTATCGACTATTTCTATTTTCGTCGTTTCCCTTATTTATCATTTTTTATTTAAAAAAATAATAATTATACATTATTATCAAATTTTAATTTCATAATTTATAATATTAATTATACTATTTATTTATCGTAATTTATAATTAGTTTTATTATATAATAATTATTTTTACTAATATATTTTTTAATTATTTATTAATTATATTTTATTTTAAATTTTCATATCTACGGTAAACCTGATACAAAATGTGTGACAAAGGGAGTTTTTATATTAAATACCCGCTCCGTCCGCCAAAATTAGTTACACCATATTTACATTTTTAGAGAATAAAATATATATTGAGAATCGTATCGAAAAAATTTCAAACAAACAAATCGCATATCCACTTAGTGTTATGTAATTTCTTGGAAAGGACAAAAAAAAAAAATTTAAATAATTTTTATAATAAGAAAATTTAACTTATATTTCAATAAGATTATTCATTTTTTTATTTTTTTTTTAAAAAATAAAGACCATTTATATGGTCAAAATATTATATACAATTTTGGGTGATTCACGTACAGAAAAATACATATCTAACATATTGTGCCAATTTCTCATCATCTCATAATATTGTGTTGATTTTGTATTTTTAGATAAATATATTTTTTTATGTTAAGTACGATAAATTATATAAATAATATAAAAATAATATTTTGTATTTGATATTATTTTTTGTGGATGAATACATTATATATTTTATAAATTGTGTTAATATATCTATATATTATAATATTTATTAAAAGTTGTATAAAAAATACTTAAAATGAACAATTATTTATTTATTCATTCCTTTAAACAATGTAATGAGATAAGAATGCAATAAATTTGACAAATGTGATTATAATTACCGCAAATTCAAAAAGATAAGGACTCCAACACTAGACTATTAACGAAATTAACATTATTATCAAAATATTATAAAACTACAATATATTTAGACATATTAATATAATATATAATATATAATCTATTTACTTACAAAAAATTAATAATTCAATACAAAATATTATTTTTTATATCACCAATATAATTTTTATACATTTATCCAAAAATACAAATGAACAAACATGGGCTCCGATCTGTTTTTTAAATTTATTTTTATTTTTTAAACATGCGCCTAGTGTGACTTTTTTGTTGATTTGCAGGGTATTAGGTTCCGCCGGAGTTTACCCGGTGCGCACTTTCGGATAGCGGCTGCGGGTTCCCACGTCATCCAAAAAAATAAAAAATAATCACTAATACTAAAATTTATCTAGTGGTTTATATAAAATTAATAATATAATTTTTTTAAAAAACATTTTCTGTAATAAGAAAATTTAAATTTAAAAAAAAAAAGAAATAAAGACTGATAAGATTATCCATTTTTATATACAATTTTATGTAATTCACATAGAGAAAACTATATGTCCAAAATATTGTGGCAATTTTATCATTTTGTTATATTATTTATTTTTTCCTTCTTTTAAACAATGTAATGGGGTTATAATGCAATAAATTTGAAATATATGTGATTATAATTAGATCTGTCAAAATGGATTAATGAGATGAATTAGTCCACAATTCTTAAATAA